ACATAGAATACATGATAACCCATTAAAATTTATAAATAATCATTTAATCTTCTTAAATGAAAATCTGTATTATGATATATATTATTTTATTATTTATTACTGCTTGACTCCACGGAAATATTGTGTTCAATAACCAAACTGTGATATAAGGTGAGTAGTTACTAAAATTATGTTTTTAATTCCAAACTTATCAATTAGAATAAGTCAGACGCAACTAGAGCCTAATTATGAATGTACAAAAATTATATTATACTTACCGCAGTATTTGATCAACGTTAATAAATGTTGCACATTTATCAGGTATCTGGAGAGTCTGAACTGTAATGAAAGTGCAAAGAAATGCTCAAAGAAAGTAAATACATGTTTAAATCATTTTTACTCGATTTATACTATTTGTAGACTTGAACATTATGTTATTTTAATTTCGTTTTTTATGATTATCATAATCATTTTAAGTGCTGATAAAAAGCCTATAATATTGTTTAAACTCTTTGAAAATCATACCATTAATAGTAAACAATATTTAAATAATTAAATGAAAACTATAAGACTATGTTATTATTATTTTTCGAGTTACGATGTACTAAAAATTAAATTTGGTCGAAAATGGTTGTGCGTTAAATGTTGACAATTTTTATATTTTACTTTTTGTCGAACTTATGAAATTATTAAGAAAAATTTAGGGAATTTTTCAATCATTTTTCTCCGAAATACCATCTTAATAAAATGTCCAATTAAAAACCTTTTATAATAAATAAAAAAAATATATTTTTATGTTTATGCCAATAATTTTCTCGTTTCACTTAAAATTTAAATTCACAAAAAAATATTAAAATGTTTGACTTTTAATTGCAGTACTGAATCTCCAGAAGCCTGATAATAAATGTGCAAAATGTATTGTTGTTGATCAAATACTGTGAATTAAGGTTTGGTAAGCATAATATAATTTTAGTACCATCATAACTTGTCTCTAGTTGCATCTGTCTTATTCTAATCGAAAAGTTTAAAACATTTTAGTAACTACTCACCTGATATCATAGTTTGGTTATTGATCACAATATTTCCCTGAAATCGAACAGTAAAAATAATAAAAATAATAAAAATATTTGACAAAAGAAACAGCTTTTTCACATAATTATGTGGTTTTTAAAATTGGGGTATTAAAACAGAATCTGAGGATGATAACGCACCTCCAAGCTTCCTTTTTTCTAGTTCTGACTATGTCAAAAAACGTAAATTGAAACTTTTATTCGATTTGAGATTTATTTTGTAAAAGTTATAGGATTAAAATAGAGGCATGGTTTAGATTTATATTTTTACTGAAAATTCCAATAGATCCTGTACTTTTTCCTACGATCATACGTTTTTCCATTCTAATTGTGTGCTTCATAATATTTATTATTATTATTAACATTATTATTTACTATAGGTATATTATGGAAATGACAGTTTTTCTAATATATTATTCACATAGTTCGATTTGACACTAAATTTTTAATATCGATAATAATATTATATTAAACTCAAATTTTTCCATAAAACTTACTATTTTTTATGGAATATACTCCGCTTTCGTCATAGTAATCGATCCATCCATGGGTCACGACTATTAATGGTTTATTGGATTTCCACACTGACTTTATTAAACTTACATCATCAATATCTATTTCATAACCTAATAGTTTTTCCGGATCTTTTTCTAACCTGGGCATTAACGATTTAATAAGTTAAAATTTAAGTTAAATTTACATATTAACTTAATTTATTTCATTACCGATGAATTAACTTACTTGTAACTTATTAACTTAACTCATTTTCTTACAAATTAACTTGAAATTAACGTATTATTTTTTCATTTATCCTAATTAAGTTAATTTTGATTTTTAAAACTAGAAAAAGATTTTCGTAAAATATCGCATTCGATAATAAGTTCATGGAATTAAAAAAAGTATAAAAATAAAAATGTTGAAGAATTTTTAGATGAAACCATAATATTTATCTCGGAATTAACTATTGATAGGGGTCCCACCGTTCTCGGGAAAAGTATTCAACCGTCTTTAGACTATTGAATAAAAATAGCCATGCCACTTATGAATTACATTATCATTGTCGTGAAAAATGGCCGTAAATCTTTATTACAAAAATAGATATATATTATCATTGACTAAATAATTCTTAATAATAATTGTACTCTATTATGATTAAAACTATTCTATAGTCTATGGTATTTTTAAATAAGATAAATATTATTAAATATTATTGAATAAGGGAAGACATTTAATAGCTGATCAATATTTTGAGATGACTCTTTTATTGAGATTCAATAGGCATTTTGATTAATCTATCCATTGTATTATTAATTTAAGTAAAATATGAATGTTGATGTTATTGTGTAATTTTTTTTACCTGTTTGAAAGTGAATGCTAACCAGTATGTTGAAAAAAAAAAATGAATGCAAATGAAGGAGTTGTTACACGATCTCGTGGTAATACAAATAAAAACAACAACAGAAATATCACTAACGATGAAGAACATGAGCATGAATCGAGTGATATACAGGAAGGACACGCCAATATGCCGAATGGACCGAATGTCGACATGGGTAACGTTAACACAAACACACTACTTTGTTCTTTTTTATCACAAAACGCTATGCTAATAGAGTTATTTAAGTCGCAAGCTAACAAATCGTCGAACGACATGATGATTGCCCCGGACTTAAATAAGTCCATACCAGTTTTCAACGGGCTACAACAGGCGCGCAAGCTAATGATTGGTTGCGAACGGTGAACGGTTTCGCGAACCTACATCGATGAACATGCAACTTTCAATTACAGTCTATGCGTGCCAATTCAGACGGTGCCGCTTGTCATTCGTTCATGTTAAGAAATATTGAAGACTGGGCTGATTTCTAGAGTCAATTTCGCAAAACGTTTATTGATGTAGTGATGACAGGCAATTATTGGAAGGAATGTGTCACCGGGTCCAGCTACGTGACGAGAATATACGTGAATATTTTCACGAGAAAATTTATCTATGCAAATAAGTAGGCCTGTTTTTCTATGAATCTAAAATGCAAGTTTTGGAAGGTCTTTATTCAAAGGACTTGAGTACGTACTTATTTTATCATGATCATCGAAATGAAGACGATTTTTTGGGTTAAATGGTCGAGTACGAACTTTTAGATATATCACGTGCGATGCGTTTCCGCCAGTCATCAGTATATATTAAAGACAACGGTTTATATAAGCCTACACCACGACAGCTGAATGATACACTACCATCTAGGTCGACGAAGAAAAAAAGTACGGGAAACATAACGACAATAGGCTGTGAGGGAAAACCAACAGTCTGATCGTGTTTTAATTGTGGCCCGAAAAAAGCATATTTCACCGCAATGTCACAAATCAAAAAAAAAAAGAAAAAAGAGCATGTTATGAATATGGTTCGATGTGACACCAAATGGGAAGCTGTTCGGAATGTACGAGACCAAATCCCGATGCATCGAGAGGAAAGCAGCCAAGGCTAATGAACATCGACGCGGTTAATGACAGACGACCCGCTGACCACCCGAAGCCGTATGAGGTACAGTGTCACATTGACGTTTCTGTTGCTGAACATGAAGTGTGTGTAATCAAGTTTAACGCGATAGTCGACCCAGGTAGTCCTATCAGTTTTCTTAAATGTGAGTCTGTTGTTCCTAATAATTATTCTGTAATTAAACCAGCATATAATAATAATTTTTATGGGATTAACGGAGCCAAGTTAAATATATTGGGTATTTTCGTAACTTATGTAACGATCAATAATAATATTATGGATTTTAGATTTTATATTGTACCGAATATCACCATGTTGTCCGATGCTATTTTGGGTAGAGATCTCTTGCCTAATTATTGTTTATTATTGTTAGGCGTTCTATTGACTCGGGTATTTTTCCGTCTGCACTTAAACTTGGCTCAATTAGACCCATATTTAAGTCTTGTGATGTTTCAAACTATCGTCCCATAACTATCCTCCCTCATTTATCCAAAATATTTGAAACACTTGTTCTTAACTCGATTCGTTCTTCTTTGAATCATATCCTAATTGATGAGCAGCATGGCTTCCGTCCTGGTAGATCAACTATTACTTGTAACCTTAAGTCTTCATTCATATATATATATATATATATGATTCTTTTCACGATAACTGCCAAGTAGATATAATCTACACAGATTATTTCTCCAAGGCTTTTGATCGTGTTGATCATAATCATCTTATGTCAACTCTAGACTCTATAGGAATCGGCGAACCACTACTATCCTGGTTTCACTCTTACATTACAAATATAATCCAATGGGTAACTGTTGATTCCACCTCTTCCGACCACTTAACCCCCTCCTCAAGTGTACCACAAGGTGCTGTTCTTTCTCCATTTCTGTTTGCCCTATTCATAAACTCAGCGGACCCCGTCCTCCAGCATTCCAAACTTCTTATCTTTGCTGATGATATAAAAATCTTTTTCCGTATAAAATCCATCTCTGACTGTCACCTTCTTCAAAACGACCTTCAGCGATTAGTGGCGTGGGGTGAATCTTTGGGGCTAGCTCTTAATATAACTAAATATTCAGTAATCACTTTTTGTCGTATTAATGCTGTAATCGAGCATGTTTACTCCATAAACAATACCGCCTTAACAACCTGTAATAATTATGTAAAAGATTTAGGATTTACTTTCACACGGAACATGTGCCCTAATATGCACATTCAGATAATATTTTGTAAGGCTCTTAAACTGCTAGATATCATAAACCATGTCTCTACAGACTTTCACTTGAACACACCTCTAAAAACTCTTTTCTGTTCCCTAGTCCGTCCCATCCTTGAGTATGGTTCCGTCCTCTGGGACCCGTCCACCGTTTCTACACGTAGCATGATTGAAAGGGTTCAAAGAAAATTCCTCCGTCAAGCTGCTTACAAATTAAAGATAGTCTGTCCACCACACGATTACACACCAATCCAACGCCTCTTTTCCTTAGAAAGCCTCGTCGATCGTCGTCATTCAGCTAACTTATCATTTCTATCTAATCTTCTTTCATCTAAAATTGACAGTCCTGAATCACTATCCCGTGTCTCATTTAATGTCCCCTCCCGCTGTACACGATCATCTGTTCCATTTCATATACCTTTCTCTTCCTCAAACTACTATCTTAAGTCACCGATCATCCGTCTTATGCGCATTGCCAACACTGATCCTTCATTCTCTCTCTAAAATTGAGTCTCGTTTCGATAAAAAAAAAAAAAAAAAAACTATTATTATTATACAATTATATTCATGTATTAAAGGGTTCGTCCCGTATTGTAAAATAAAATAAATAAATAATTTTAATAGGAATGATTTAAATTATGAAAATTTCTTATCGAATCTTAAATATGTTGTTAAAAATATGCATTTACATATCCATTTTCTATTAATAAAATTATCGTTGTGTCCTAGGTGAACGATATTTTGTGAGAGGGTACGTTATTCGTGATATTCTACGCGAGCAGACGAATTTTCTCGTTATATGCCATCGGAAAATGCATTTCAACCTCTAAGAACAGTTTTCCACGTTTTATTTATTATAAGTCGATTATGATAATTTGAATCTTTCATGTTATGTAATAGAGATGTTTTTTTAACGTCTGATATCAAAATTTATAATTTTTTTTTTTTTTTTTCATAGGTGCTCGTAACAAATGCGTATCATACAACAAATGGGATTATTTTTACCGTAATTGGTGCTGCGAAAGGGAATAATAAAGAGAAAATTAGACCTAGTTATTTGTGAGGGAACTTTAAAATTAATTAGAGAAAGGGGAAAAGGGAGCATCCATTCGTCCATCAATCAACTTATGCAAAATCACTAAATTAGCAGCAACTCTTCTATCATATTTTACCGGTGCGGATCTACACGGTGGGAATGGACCATACTCGTCGGATAGGAATACGCCCGTGGTGTTTATATACGGGTGTATTTTCAACAACTAATCACTTCTTCTTCGACCATCTTCTACCTGACAACGACACACATCCAGAAAGAAGAATAGAAGTTTACCCGAAGAAACCACCAGTCGCAACGAACACAGCTGAATCTATCATGAACAGCGACGACGATCGACGATCCAGCCAGAGCCGACCGTCGACCCGGATAAGGAACAACGGCAGCGCTACCGGACCAGATAACACTACCGGTCACGCTTCCGATACCAGAGGCCCAGCCGAACGACGAAGACGAACGCTAATCTCGCTGAAACCACCGCACACGGCGCATCCTACGCTCCGCCGCCCGCCACGACAATACACTGACGTGACATTTCAGTATACTGTCTGGCCGGGCGAACGGTGACGTGTTGCGACGAAGAACGCGAGATTGGCCAGCGAAGCCGGTGTTCACCAACAACCCGCGCCAAGAGATCGACGGCAACGATTATAGCGAACCCAACGCAAGGACGTCTGGGATCACAGTTAATAGCAGCTCGTTGATATAACATTCTGACGAGTCTGCGAACGCTCATCTGACCCACTCCGACCGCAGCGGGATACTGGATAGCTGCCCCAAGCAGCCAAATTGGACACACACCCCGACCGCGACCGGTGCGATCAATTGAAAACAATACTCGGCCCCATCGGCGCGCCTGTTGAGGCCACGCCACGAGAGCTGATATATACCCGGCCACTTGTAGGAGTCTTCCGGAATATCTCTGCATCTCTCCCTTTTGATTGTGTTAGGTCTTATATCAACCGATTGTAAATTCGATCATCGCGCTTGTCTAAGCCTGATGCCGCCCGTGCGGCTCACTTGATTAAGTCCGCTGCACGGTCCGGGATAACTTTTCCCCCCGATATTGCTTAAAATTGTACATTATTATTATATTTACATTCAATAAATCTATAATATTATTCAGAAACCATAGGAATTCTCTTTACGAGCGTCGCGTCGTCTCAACCTAATATCACTTCAACCTGCAGTTATAATTGTATTAATCTTGAAAATGTATTAGAAATTAAATACCTGGGATTAATTCTGGATTATAGGCTAAAATGGGATAGACATATACATTTTATAAATAACAATTTACGTAAATTCTTCTATATATTTAAAGGTATATATATATATATATACCTGTAAAATTTATAGATATAAATTTAATAATTATTATAAAAGAATTATTTATTTATCCCTAGTACAATCTTTCTATTCTTATATTGTTTGTAACGGACACACACACGTTCGGGGTGGCCGCGTGGTGTACGTTGACAAAATAATATAAGTTTTTTTGTATGTTATATCAATTCATTTATTAACACATAAAAAATATACACATCAAGAAAAGTAATATCTCTTGTACAAAACATAGAACAAAAAGGACAATACTACAAAAACAATACATATAATGGTCATTATTATTCAAAGAAAAAGACTATATTTACTGTTATATACGAACAAATATACTGTGAATGTATATTTATTTACGTGTGAGCGTGGTGGCTATCGGCAGCGACGGCACGATTAAAGGTATTGTTATGAGCAATTTTCACGATGATGTTTGCAACGACGGCAGGCTTCGAGATAACTCGGACTATACACTGTTACGTGTACCGTGGTTATCTACGGAAAATGCTGCGGTTGTCGTCGACGACGGTAGTTGCGACGACGCCATAACTAATACGAATGGTGAGGGGTACTGTACCCCTAGGCAGTAGCAGTAATCACAAGAAGATGACACGCTGTTCTTTACACTGAGAAGTGTACGGTGAGTGTCTTCGAAGAATGGTGGCACTGGGCTATAGACGCGGTCGAGAGGTTTAACCACTGCCTTGGCACTGATTCAATGATGTGACTACGACAACTGCTTTGGACGCAGGGAAGAGTGATTATAACGCCGATTTCGGGGTATATAACAAGGCCTATAATTCCACACGTTGAAATCAGATTGGTATCTGAGCAACTCGGTCCCGTATATATTTATATTACTCCCGACAGAATTATGGAAGGTCATTATAAGTACTAGAAGGGCTAATACATAGTAAATTATGACCCGAACGGGTTAAATAAATAAATTAATGTTGCGAATTTAGATAATTGAGTCCGGCGGCCGTGGTGTACAATCCGGATGGTGCGTAAGCGACATCTGTTGGATGTTCTTCGGTTGCCGGACTCCCATTGTACTGTGATTATTGGGCGCGATTAGTAAGAAAAACAACCACTGCACGCTGCGCAACACGTATGGGATTACGTACGGGGGATATATGGTGTACCATTACATGTTATGGTTTATCAATTTTGGGAGGAACCTATAATATCCATTTATCCAGACTAAAAGCCACTATAAATCGTCTTATTAAATATTTAATCGAATTTACCTTTTCAATCTAGCACTATCACTTTATATGAGTCATTAAATGTTAAAAACTTCAATTTTTTTTATAATTTGTCTGTTCTGATAGATTTATATAAACACAAACATTTGATACCAATATTTGATCATGAACATAAAACTAGGTTTAGACAAAATATTAATATATGCTTACCAAATTTCACTAAAGTTTTTAGTCAAAAAAGTACATTTTATATTGGCTTACATTTATGTGTTTCATTTAATATTAATATAAATAATTTTAAAAATCTTCCTACTTTTAAAAAATATATAAAAATTAAATTTAGATTGTATTTAATGATCTTTATATAGTTTATTTTTTAGTCTAATTTAAGTCTCCTTTGACTGTTATTTAATGTAATTTATATTTTTTAATTATTATTTACTACTAGACTATTTATATCTTACATAAATTCTTTTAAGAACTTGCTCTCCCAACACAAGTTTTGCTTTTTGGGGGCGCTACAATATTGTCAAATTTTTATAATTTAATAAAGTTATATTTTATGTATATATACCTACCTATATTATAAGAAATTTTGTTTCAATATGTAAAGATTTTATTGTTGCAATAAAATTATTATTATTATTATTATAATTATAAAAAAAAAAAAAATTATCGGTTATTTAATACAATAAAATTATCACAGTTACTTTTAAAAAAAAGATATGATTATATTATTTTTATGTTCAAAGCATGAAAATATAATAGAAATATTTAAAGCATCTTCAACTGTAAGATAAAATACGTTTTTTAATTTGCAATGTTTAGCAAAGCACTCTTTTACTTTTTATAGAAAGTGAAATAAATGTAAATTTGGATGGGTTAATCCTCTTTTTGATTTTTAAATTAATAAGCTCAACTTCTGGCAAATAATTTGAATTTTTCATTTAACCAATGTAATAATGTAGGGTTACATACTACTAACGCTTTACAGAAGTGGCGAAAATGTGTACTAAACCCGTAACGCATTCTGTCCATCAGCTATCAATGCAATTTAGATATACGATAGCTAACCTGTATAACTTAAACCATTGTGAAATTGAGCAATCAGGCGTGTGTAAGTAGATTCACATTGCTCATACTGACACGGATAGTTTGGCTTCCTATCGCTCAGCGTGGGCTCACGTCTCTTTCATTCTTTTATTCTTTCTCGATCGCCGACTTCCCTTCCGTCCGCGCTACAACTAGATTTCTCGTTTTTCCTTAATTAAAATTATATTCTAATTAAGTGTATTAATTCATATCCTGACACTCGTTAGGTACTCTCGGTCTGCACATAAATAGAAACTTCTACATATGTTATGATAGTTATTAAATAACATTTTACCAATTAACTGTATGATAACATTAGCTAAATATTTATTTTGATTTCGAGTGAAATAGTTGCATCTAGGGTTGGTATACTTCTAGATTAGGGGACATTTCGGGTTTTCAAAAAAATTACCCTGTATCCTCCTTCAGTTCTTAGCGGAAAGCGTATGACATGTTTTCCGAATCCCATGTTACAATAAAGCGATACGTTAATACCCCTATTTTTTCATAGTATTACAAAAATTATTTCAAAAGTGGTGTTCCGCGAGTGAAAAAAAAAATCCCAATGCTAATTGTAACAATAATTGAGGACTATAAACTATATTAAATATATATTTATTAATGATGTAAAAATGTATTAAACAGAAATAAAATTATCAATTTAACTATCCTTAATTGTAAATCAGCGACAGCACGAATTAGGCAATAAATAATTAAAATCGTAATAAAATATATAACCTAGGTATCTAATTCAAATTGAAGAGAGTAATTATTTTTCGATTATCCATTTTAATAATACACAAAATATTTATAATAGCATAAAATATACATACTTCCAATATAGAAGTGTCAAATAACCAGCAACATAATATGAGATATTAAGTTTGATTTTTGGTTGATTTCCTGTAAATTCTAAAGTACAAAAATATATACTAAATAATATAATGTGTAGTATTTAATTTTAGATAATTGTTGGTTATCGCTTTTATTCCAATACAAACGGATTGCAGTCCGGTTTATTTATGGAGGGTATTTCTGATATGGTTGAGGAAACTAATAAATGCGTACTCTCTGGAGTGGCCAAATGATGAATCTTTTGAAATATTTTTTCTATCTTTAAAACTTGGATTTTATCTAATTATATTCAGAGCATTATTTCGAATCTAAAAATAAAAAATTACTTGTAAAATGTTTTTTGAAAATTTCTTTTGTGAATCGATATAAGACATCAATTTAGGACTTTTCACACGTTTGTCACGTCCTAGTCACCAGAATCAGAAAATGTGGTGACATATAATGTCATGATGATAAACATGCAACAAGCACATGAAAAGTTTCGATTTATCCAATTAATTAATAACATTAAAGATAGTAAAACATTAATTTATTTACTTATCCTATAGGCTATAAATTTTGCTTTGTATACTGAACATATAGTTTTTGATGTTAATAAACTTGATACTTCTGTTTTCGATTTGCCTAATAATGCTATATTTAGTGTAGATGATGTACCTTTCAGTTTATCATCTTTGAAAAACGTTTGGCTTGATGTTCTTTCAGTATATTTTTTATTTAAATTAAGATCAATTATTGCCCACCCAATATAGCTTATCTTTAGAAAATCGCTCAACGAAGTTATTTTTCCTTTACTACCGTAAATTGTATAAAGATTTTCTTCAATTTTTTCGGACTATCTAACAGGTTAGGATAACCTAACCTAACCTGATTTAACAGGTAAAGGATTTACTTCCTTAATATTGAAAAGCTTAAAAAATGTTGTAATTGAAACACGGTATTTACGTGGCCAAGGTTATGATGGATCAGGTGCAATATCGGGTTAGTTTTACAATAATATAAACTATTTTATTTATTTTAAATTATCAAAAAAGGCATAGTATTATTTTGACAAATCCTTAGTGTCGCACCGAATAGAGAAATATAGTATTAGAATATAATCAAAACCCGTCAACGCTTTTTCTTATACTGAAATGGTTTGTGTAGAAATATTTTTGGTTTTAGTTACAACTTAAGTGCTAATTACTAATTACAAATAGCATCAAATTAAATATGTAAAATCAAAGTTAAATTATGAGATTTTGGGATTAAATCATAATAACCGATATAAAAATATTTATTTAAAAATTCACCTTTTTCTATTTCAATAACATTTGGAGGTTTTTGTTTCATTACTTGATTTCTTTGACGTTGAATCCATCTCTCTATAAAAAACGTTTTAAAAATATACAATGGTAAAAATGAAGTAAAATTATTTTAATATATTATTTGAGCAACTTTTCAATGTATCATATCATCATATAACTTTATGATTACTGTTCATCGATTATATACTATTATCAGTGGCGTATTTTCAACTTTTTTTTAGGGGAGGAAGTCCAACAATTTTTAATTCTAATTTGGAACAGGTATTAATATTAGAAAGTATTTATGAATATATAGAAATTATATAAATAGTAAATTGTTATCAATAGATATTAAAAATTGCATTGATGGTTTATTAATAAGTATATTTATTTTAAAATAATTTTTAAAATTTTAAAGTATAAAATATAATCGTCATTTTTTTTACTAAGTTCTTCCAAAATGTTATGAAATGTGAAAGAAAATTTACTGTAAATAACATATAATAATAACATTCCTAATCTCTTAAGCCTATTATAAAAAAATAAAAAAATAGTTTTTATTAATTTCAATCCCAATAATGTTCTTTTATTTGACGCAGTCGATATTGGTATTGTTGCTAGAATTTGATCATTCGAATACACCAGAATACATATCATAATTGCATATAATTAATTCATCAGTTGAATTATTTGGCTTTTCACTTATGTTTTTCATTTTCTCAGCCACAACTTGAACTCTCCAATTATATTTTATGTAGATGAATCGATATCTTCGCTATATGTAAATTTGATATTCTTCATACCTTCAAAGGTGATTTAAATTCGTTTGCAACATGTTTTGCTTTATAGAAATATAACTCACTATCAGTATTTATTTTAAATAATTGTAGTTCGTTTAATTATTAGACTCTAATAAATCTTGAGCCCTACTCATTGCTTTCTTTAGGTTAATATCGATTTTTCGAAATTGTTTTGATATAGGTTATCCAAATCCAAATAATTTTGAAGATATATCAAATACTATAATAAATTCTGATTGTAAGATCGAACTTCTTAAATGTTGTACTTTCTCACAGCTATCTGATGTATCGTCCTATTTAGAAATGGCATCGAGAGCTTCTACAATGTATTCAAGTAGTTCCAATCATTTATTAAATGGTATATTTTTACCCAACAAGTTTCACGATTCTTTTTTAATGACATTTTTAATACCAAATTTTCTGATTTAACTATAAATCGAAAAAAAATACAGCTTTGCGTTTAGGATATATTAAAAATTACAATGTTTTCCAACCATTCCTAAACAAATCTTAATAATTTGAATTCCACATAACAAAGAGATTGCAGGTTGAAAGAGTGTGCAGAATAATGGATATAAACAGCCAACAGATGAGATTGTTGAGATAAACTGAAAAGTAAATCATCTACACTAAATATAATATTATTAGGCAAATCGAAAACAGAAGTATCAAGTTTATTAACATCAAAAACTATATGTTCAGTATAAAAAGGAAAATTTATGTATGGGCGTATTTTAGAGGAGCGAAGGAGCGACCTTGGTCGACCAAGGTCTTCTCCTTGAATTCGTATTTAAGGAATTAATTATAATATAATGTGAGACATATTATATGAGATTGTTGTGGACCGGTGGAGAGCACGACGCATAGTTGTAATAATAAAAGTAATAAAAATGAACATCAACGTGGTTTGTGAGGTGGTAGTGACTGTTGGGCCGTGTATTAAGTTAACACCGAACAATAATAATAATAATAATTTCACTATACAATGTATCTAACAAAAATATGGCACAAAAACGAGTTGTCGTTTTAGGTACGCGGCAATGTGCGGAAAATGTACATGCAAGTGGTGATATGCTAAAAACAAGGGCGATGCGACCGTACAGAGAGTTGACAAACACCAGTTCGTCGTTCCGACGACACTTGCCTTCGACGGTGCCGATGCTCCGCTTTTCCCGCTCCTGTAGGAAGGCGCGGGGTGCGACGCATGGGTATCGTGATCCGCGAACTGTCGGCTGATTAGGAAACTATAAATGCGGTCGGTGGCGTCCGTTGTAATAACGGCCGTCGCCGGGTCCGCGTCATATATGGTCCCTCCACATAGAGGACACCGTCCGAGAGGGTGTCCTCGGCCAGCCTAGTCCCCTGTGCGGTGGGTAGGTCGGCGTTTTCTATTGCGAACGCCTGGTCGTCGACCTCCATCGGTGCCCCTTGGCCCGGTTCGTGACGGTCTTGGATTGGCAGGGGCGGGGCTTCCGAAGACGGAATTGTGGGCTTCCGCCGCCGGATTCTGCTGCCTTTTGCTCCCGTTGTTCGAGCCGTTTCTTCCTCACGAAATCCTTCCTCTGAGCCTTGTCGCGCTCCTTCTGAGCCCTCCCCTTTGTGGCGTTTGGTGCTTTCTTTGTTGCCGGAACCGTCAGAAGAGTTGAGTCCGTTGGTGGTGCGATGATGATCCTCGGCGGCTACGGCTCCAACGGGCCCGGTGTTGGTTTTGTCGGTGGTGACGTGTAATGTGGCCGAGGTCCTGTGACGACGAGCACGGTCCACCCCGTCGTCTCCGGGTGAGGGTCCACGTTGCGCGCTATTGTTTTGATGGCGAACTCTGTTTGACGACCGGCCACCATCCGAATTGGTGCAGTGTCTGTCAGTGACTGTCGACGGCCGGTAAAGGTACACGATGCGCCGACGGTCGCCGTCCACCACGTACGCCTGTTCCGCCTATCAGTTTCACCAGCTCTTCCGACTGATCCCGCTGGCCCCGCTCGTATGCCGCTCGCAGGAGTGGGTCGGCCAGGAGCTGTGCCTTGATGGCCCTTCGGACCTCTCCGGGGGTCAACTGGTGTCTTTCTCGTTTGTCCATGGTCTCTAGGGGTCAAAATACAGTTAGTTCTGATGTCTGCGTGCTTTAGGCACGAGACATGTATTTTCCGGGGCGGTTGTTGGTTGGTTAGGAATACCCCTTTTTCGATCCGCTTTTCCAGCCTCACTTTATCCCACCATTTTGGGGAAAATCCAGCATGGAAAACATAGCTCGCTTTCGACAGGTGGTGGGCTTTGTAGTATACTACATCGCCCTCCACAAACTTGGTTAGTTTCGGACCATCTGTCGTCACGCTGTTTCCTAGAATCTCCTTTTCCCTTACCACCCTTTCCGAAATTATATCTTCGATCGGTATGGTCGTATTTCGTGACAGGGTCCAATCCCCCGGCCTTTTGCATTCTCTGTTGAGTACTAGTACCGAGAGTGGATATTCTGTCTGGACATTCCTTCTATTCCAAATCGCAAATACAATTGGTGGCAGTTTGGGGTCTCAAGTACTGTGTTTGTCGTTTGACAGTACTGCGTGCAATCCATTTTTGAGGTCTTGATTGCGTCGCTCGACCAGGTTAGTTCGATGGTGGTATGTCGGTGTCGTCCAACCCTCTGCCCCCCAATGTTCGATCGCGTTTACCATGTCGTTCGATACGAATTGGGGTCCTTTGTCGCTGAGACACACGCGGGGGTAACCGAAACGAGAGAAGAATTCGCGTTCAAGTGTGTCTGCGATGTTTTTGGTAGTGGCTGTTCCAAGAGGGTACGCTTCGGTCCATCTACTGAAGCAGTCGGTTGCCACCAGTATGTAGGACTTTTCCTTACTTATGCGTGGGTAGGGACCCATAAGATCGATACTGATGACTTCCCAGGGTTGTCAGGGTGTCCTGCTGGTCATGAGGTCGTCCGGGCGTGAGTTGAGCGGTTTCGTACACGCACAAATGTGGCACGATTTCACGTACAATTTCACGTTGTTCTTAAGTCCCTTTAAGTAGAGTGTTGCCGGACGGCTCGGTACGTTTCTTTTGAACCTGGATGGCTGGCCAATATATGGTCATGATACCTCTAAATTACATGTTGTGATTTGGCCGGCGGTATTACGACCGATGAGTGGTCCCCGACGTTTATCCGGAGGAAGCCATTAGATACGACGTATTGGTCGGTACCTATTTTGGAGTTCCTAGTATTTCGTGCGGGGATGTCCGACTGCATGTTTTTTATTATGATTTGCGTTTGGGGGTCTTCGGATTGCCAAGATGCAAGTAGTGATGTCGTGAATGCTTCGTCTTTGGGACGAGTGTCCAATTCTGTGGTGACGAAAAGGTCGTCGGCCAGGGTGGTAGTAGTGTTGGTGGGTGATGTGGTTGGTGCCCCTACTAACCTGTCCTCAAGGCCGTCCTCATCAAATGGGGGGTCTTGGGCTGGATTACGCGATAACATGTCTGGTCCCTCGTTTCGTACCCCGGGGACATGTATCGTTTCAATATCTCAATTCGCAAGTTGGAGTGGCCACCTGGTAAGTTTAGAATTTTTGTCCTTCGCCCTATGTAGCCAAGTTAATGCTGCGTTGTCCGTATATAGCTCAAACCGGAGTGCTTCGAGGTATGGTCTGAATTTGTTCGTTGCCCAGATTATGGCTAAACACCCGCGTTCTACGGCGGCGTATATTTTCGCGGCGGCGGGTCCAGTGTTTTGTAAACACGGTAATCACGCCTGCGGTTATCACGCCAACGATAAATTGATAGACGACGGTGGTGGTTTAAGGTGGGAACAGACTATTGTCACGTCACGTGAGCTCACGTGTTATTACGTGCTATCACGTCACGGGAAAAAAGTGTAGGATATAGATTAATACAGTATTTTAATGTATCAGCGCCACGCTTGTCACCTCACGCGTGTCACGTCATATTTCCTAGATCACGCGTGATAGCATGTTTTGATTTTCTAACATCACACACATTTTCGACTCACGTGTCATCATGCATTTGGGTCTATTTTATAAAATAATAAAATAAAATTTTTTAAATAAAATAAAATATTAAAATATAAAATTAAAATTGCATTTACCGACTTTAAATTATTTAATTTTAAAATGGATGAACTTTTAATCGAAAAAGTTCGTGAACATAACATTATATGATCATCGTTCCACCGTTTATAGGCACCTGGTGTTACTGCCCACCTTAGGGCTTAGACTTTATACGAACGATTTTTAAGGGGTTTGTTATAGATAATTCACAATACTTTCG